TCCTTTCCTTTCTGCAACTGACCAGTAGCCATTAACAAGGTGCCCAGTTGACTTCAGGGTCCGTTGCACCCCCCTGGCATCCAAGGTGTGGTCTCAATGGGCCGTTTTGCTGTGATCACAGCAGGCAGTGGGAGGTTAATCCCAAGAGAATGCAAGCTCAATCTTTTCCCGCCTCCAGCTTGCACCCGGGGCCCTCACATCTCCACTTGTATAATGGCCTGACGGAGCTCTGTGGTCTGTGGCCAACACCTCTTCAGATTTCACTTCTGCTTTCTTTAGCTCTGAGAATATTGTGACATTTTTCAAGGCCTGCACCCATTACAAAGAATAACCGAGTGGGTTGCTGACCTCTCACCTTTGTGCAAAGTCTAATTATAAGTATAAGCTAAGTATATGGAAGAAACTGAATACTTAAACACTATGTAAATTTTTGTGTTGTCCAAAATATAGAAAATGAACCGTCACCAGTCATAGGTATCATAAGCAGCAGAAGTGAATTTTAAATTATCAGCATGGCTCAGATATTACTAATAATTAATACTAATGAGAAACTCTAGCATGTTTTTAAAAATGTGTGCCTCCCAGTGTACAGCTATGACAATTAGCCCCCTGTTAAAACATGTTTTGATATACGTTTAGTTTGTTCGAGCACCGCTAAATAATTTCAGATGGCAGAATATGCATCTGTTTTTCCCCGGAGTCTTTTGCACATATCTGCGCGTAATTAATGTGGATTTTGACAGATGGAGAAAAAAAAATGTCCTCGTAATAGAGAAGGGTACATGCCACAATGTGTGAAGTGCAAGCATGGAGGGAGCTTCTTGTATTATTTGCTGCCCATGCCAGCTGGACCCGACAGATTCTTACAGGTAGAAATTCGAGCAAGAAATATATGCAGGAATCATTTAAATTCAGTGCCCACCATAAATAGGCGGTGTTTTTGTTGTTACGGTTGGAAATTAATGTGAAATGTTCTCAGTGTTGTTCTAAATTTGGCATTCAGAAGACTAAACCTGTCCCGTTCGGTGTCTTTCCATCCATGGTAACCTTCGTGAAATATCCAATGAAGTGCAATTTCTTTCAATGGTAATTGTGACTGGAGGTCATTTTTAATTTAAATGCTTAAAATCC